GCTTGGGGCTTTTCATGTTCCAGCAAAAACAACATCCCCACAGATAGAAGCCCAGCTGTTTGCTATGAAGTCTGAAATCTTAAAGAGTTGTCAAAATGTAACACAACGATATTTTTACTAATTTTTTTGTTCTGAAATATGGGGTCATCATTATTTTAAATAAATTAAAATTTATAATTTTTTTTTGGTCAGTTGTGGGGCTTGAACTCAAGGCTTGGGTGCTGTCCTTGAGGCTTTTATGCTCAAGGCTAGCTCTCTACCATTTGACCCCATAGCTCCACTTCAAGTTTTCTGGTGGTTAATTGGAACTAAGAGTCTCACAGACCTTCCTGCCCAGGCTGGCTGATTTGATTGTTTTTTTTGTTTGGTCAGGTTTTTTTGGCGGGGGTCTGGTCATGGGGCCTGAACTCTGGGCCTGGGCGTTGTCCCTCAGCTCTTCAGCTCAAGGCTCTACCACTTGAGCCACAGTGCCACTTCCAGCTTTTTTCTTTTTGCTTATGTGGTGCTGAGGAATCGAACCCAGGGCCTCAGGCATGCAAGGCAAGCATTCTACCACTGAGCCACCTTCCCAGCCCCTTGATTAATGTTTTAATGCAGTAAAGATCAATAGACTGTGTGAACAAAATTCTCATCTTGTGTGTGTGTGTGTGTGTGTGTGTGTGTGTGTGTTCCTGAGGCTTAAACTCAGGGCCTGGGAACTGTCCCTGAGCCTCTTTGAGCTCAAGGCTAGTGCTCTACCACTTGAGCCATAGTTCCACTTTGGCTTTTTTTCAGTAGTTTTTGGAGATAAGAGTCTCATGGACTTTCTTGCCCAGGCTGGCTTTAAACTGCAATTCAGATCTCAGCTTTCTGAGTAGCTAGGATTACAGGCTTGGGCCACCAGCCCCCAGCTATCCTCAATCATTTTTACGAATGTAAAGGAGACCAGAACCAAAAAGCTTGAAAATTACTGTTTCTAAGGAATCTCAGCAGCAGGCAGTAGGAGAGAGTGCTCTCTTAAGGACTAATACTACTGTGGATGTGTTTCAGATTTTAAAAACTAAGAAGACATGATATCTGAAGGCCAAAGTTCTAGACCCAGTCTAGAACTGGGTCTAGAACTAGGTTTCTCAGAAAGAGATACAAAGAAAATTATTGATCAGTTGACAAAAGTGGAATATCAATAGCAGATTGAAACACTGTAGCAATGTGAACTCTATCAGTCTGTGTACATAGATATGTGTGTGTATGTCTACATATGTGTATTGTGTGTGTGTGTGTGTGTGTGTGTGTGTGTGTGTAGCAGTGATACTTGAAGAAAAACTGAGCTGAAATATATAGATTGTTTTCCAATTTTCTGCCCAAGGAATATGCTGGAGGAATAGGAAGAGGAAACAGCTATAACTACCTCTTCCTCCTTAGTTTCCACTGAAGAACTTGGGATGCTAAGTTTCTTGCCAGCTTCTCTTGCAGCTAAGGTTATCTACATGATCCAGCTATGGTCTAAGAGATGGAAGAGGGTGTCGTCCAAGAGTTTCCAGTTAAGTTTTTGTCTTCCTAATCAAAGGGACATGCAAGAGAGAAGCTTTACCCCACCCAACCTCCCATTTCCTTCTTGCATTTAGAATGATTGCATTTAATGCAAACAGAGCTTAGCAAAACAATCCTGAAGGCATTAAACAAAAGATATAGTAAAATGAAGCTAAAGAAAAAAAGTCTAGCTCTTTCTGGAGATCCTTGAGCAACAGAACCAATCTCAGCTATGCTTACTGCTGTGCATCTTATTACTTAACTAATATATGTCCTTGTTGAAGCCACAATGTCAAGTGTTTGTTGTTTACAGCTGCACGCATTGCTGATGCTTGCTCAGTTAGGAAAGAGTACAAAAACAGAGTAAGAACCAGGCCATGAAACACTGTGCAGAGAAAGCAACTCTAAAGCAAAATGCCTATTTAAAACCTGGGCCAAATGGCGGCATGCTGAAGTTTTTAAACAATGCCAAGATGTGACAATTTTCCTTAACAAAAGTTAAAATAAAGAACTCCTACAGCAGTAAACATTCAGCAGTGATTTAAGACCTGAAAAGGTCAAGACAGCCCCTAATCAGATGGGTTTCAATGCAAACATCATTTCTGGGTATGCTGCCAAGAGCATACATTATTGCCAAATTCCTCATTGAAAGCCATATATAAGAAGGCGTTAGCTGAAACACAGAAGTTAAAAATAAGACATTTAAATAGTAATCTCCTTTCTCTCTCAAAGATGAATGTGTCCATTAACCCTGACTGCTAACAGGAAGATTTCTTTCTCTTAACATTCTGCATGACTTTCTTTTTCCAAACCGTTCATGAGCAAGTTGGCATGAGAAATAAATAATTTTAGTAAGTTGGCTCCTGATCAGCTACTCCTCTGAATTTAAGCACAATCCAGTTCATAACTTTTAAGTGGCAATACTAAAAACATGGATAAAACTCCTCTGTGCTGGGCCCCCTGCAAACACGTCGGGGATCTGGTAGCTGGATTCAGCCATATACAAGTCAGCACATGTGCATCTTGTCTTCTAGTCAGAGTGGAATTAGAATGTGTGGGGTTTTCTTCCTAGTCAAGTAGGAAGAGCCCAATGTGAAAACTGAAATAAAGTGCTTCCGTTAACATTTCTAGACAATACAGGAGATGTCATGAACAGCACATGATTCATTGCCACGAAGGTTGTTGCTGGTGGTAACACGAGAAACATTTTGAGGAAGGAAAAAAGTCAGTGTATAGAGAAGGGAAGTGTATAGAGAAGGCAGGTTCCCAGCTCAATCCTGAAAGATGCATGGCAACCTGTGGGTGATCAAAGGAAGCATACAGAAGAGCATCCTAGAAATACTAGTTTAAAACAAAAAGAGTGGCATATGTCTGTAATCCCAGATACACAGGAGGCGTAGGTAGGAGGATCTGGGTCTAGGTCTGGTCCAAGTAAAAGTTTAAGACTAACTCAAACTCAAATCAGAAGCAAAAGAGCTAAACATAAGGCTGAGTTTGAAACCAAGAACTACCCCAACTCACTGTCCCCCCCACCTCCCCTCACCCCCCTACCCCCGCCCCCCCCCAAAAAAAAGAGCTAGCTCTAGGTCTTTCTACAATCCTGGGGTAGGTATGGACATTGGAAGATTAAAAATGATACCTGGTCCACAGGAACTTCACCTCTCTAGGCATATGAGCCTCAATTTTTTACTCGGGTGGCTTTCTGCTTTTATGCATGTTCTTATTCAGTCTTATTTTTAATTAGGAAGAGATGCTAATGTATCAGATCACTTTCACTGATGTCTTGTTGGAGTTCACAAGTCTTTAAAGACTAAAAAAAAAAAAAGCATAAAATGTGTCAGGGAAAGGAGTCTCTATCATTTCACTCACAGATTCTGCCTTTTAAATGTAGTTCTTCTGCCAATGGTTCAGTGAAAGATGGCTTCCTATTGTCATTTATTAGCCATGACAGGCAGCAACCTGTCTCTCAGATACAGTTTCCCTTCACCACACAATTATCTAGTAATGCCTGCAAGGCAAAAAAGACTGCTCAAAACTTCTTCATTCTGGAATGTTTTCCCCCCAAAGGCAACAGTTCAAAGTGAACCTCTATTAACTGGAACACTGACATGTGCAGAATTCTCTGGACAGGACAATTCCACTGCTGCTAGAGAGACAGCAGAAACGAAGACATATAATTACCCATAGTCCAGACACCAGGAACTCAGGCTTGGTAGCAGTGTGGGGGTGAAGGCCCTGTATGCTGGCACTGACGGCATCGCCTCACCATAAACCACCCAGCCACAAGCCATCAGCATATATACATATGTCCCCATCAAGGATCCTTCCCTCAAAGGGGAAAATATGTTTCTCGCTTAACTCAATGGAACTAAGACAAAATATAAGACAGTATCAAGATTAAACCAATTAGATGCACCACTGGCTTATTAGCCAGTAGACATTACCTGCAGGTATGACACAAAAATTATACACTCCAGCCGGGCACCGGTGGCTCACGCCTGTAATACTAGCTACTCAGGAGGCTGAGATCTGAGGATCGAGGTTCAAAGCCAGCCCGGGCAGGAAAGTTCGTGAGACTCTTATCTGCTCAAGCGGTAGAGCACTCGCCTTGAGCTGAAGAGCACAAGGACAGCGCCCAAGCCCAGAGTTCAAGCCCCACGACCAACCAAAAAAAAAAAAAAAAAAAAAAAAAATATATATATATATATATATATATATATATATATATATATATATATATATACACTCCTTGCTAACAGGGCTCACAACTTATAACCTGGAGCAACATAAAAATAGAGCAGCCGGGTGCCAGTGGCTCATGCCTGTAATCCTAGCTACTCAGGAGGCTGAGATCTGAGGATCATGGTTCAAAGCCAGCCTGGGCAGGAAAGACCGCGAGACTCTTATCTCCAATAAACCATCAGAAAACAGGAAGTGGCGCTGTATCGCAAGTGGTAGAGCGCTAGCTTTGAGCTGAAGAACTGAGGGACAGTGTTCAGACCCAGAGTTCAAGCCCCACGACCGACAAAATAAAAATAAAAATAGAGCATAGTTTCTACCTTTAAGTCTCTTTACTGGCTTCCTTCTTTTACCTTCCATTTGTCTTATGCATTGTGGAGCACAGAGAGGGTTAGGGGTAAGAAAAGAAACAGATTGAAGAAAAAAGAAGGGAGGCTTAGAAATACAACAAGGTAAGGGGGCAGCCGAGGATGGGTTTGGAGACTGCATCATGGTGGGAGGGAAGAGACTGGGCCTCACTGAATGGCCAGACTCCAGATAGGGAGCAGGGAACCCAGAAAAATGTGGGAAGAAGGCCCCTTTTCCTAACACCTAAAACCTGAAATCTGGTTCAGAAAGCAGTATACAGCATTAATCGCTCAGATTGTTTTGAGCACTAAACCCACACAATGTGCCTCATGAACAATGCAGAAATGACAGAGAGTTAAACATATCATTATAACAATATAAAAAATAAACATACTTCAGTGTGGTAGAGTTTAATAAGATTTTAATAATATTGGTAGGGAGCCAACTCACAAGATGCCCTGGAATACAGCATATAAAGAAACCTCAGAGACAAAAATAAAAACTCATGAAAATATAAGAACATTCTAAAAAAGGTAATAATCTTTAGGATAAAGAAACCATTTTCTCAATAAAAGGACTGAACATGTTTAATAAAGATTAAATGAGATTAAAGATAAGACACGTGGCTTGTATTTTCCACTTACAGTGATTAGGCCAAAGCATTCAGGAAGCACCAATGAGCTCCAATCCCCAACAGTGTGGAGTAACAGCCTCTGGGAAGGGGGCGGGGGAGGGGGGCGACGTGGAGAAGTTCTCACAACCCACTTACAGGACAGGAATGCGTTTACTCTCTGGCTGTGGAGCGCCCTTGGAAATGACCTACGTTGGCAAGTGGAGTAGAGACAGCACTTTTCCACCCAGTGGAAGTAGCAGTGGGGGAAGATGGTGCACCTCTCCCATCCACACAATTGCAACTGCAATCCCAGTGTGGGGGCGTGGCCTAGAGAAAGTGACAAGCCGCCTCCTCTGGGAACAACTCATTACTCAGATAAACTAAGCCAAACAGTTCTATGTGACCAACAAACCAAAGATCAGAAGCCAAACCCACAGGGGTCCCCACCCCCCAGAGAGATGATATGCCACTCCCTGGTGTGACAGGAGAGGCGGGAACAGAGAAGATACTCCTGGCTCAGTGGCACTGATCATCTGCCAGACCAGCTGTGCCATCCCATCCAGTTCTTCTGGGTGGGTGGATGGGGGGTTTCCCTCTACTCTACAGCAAATACTTTAATGCTACTGTCATTCGGGCTTGATTTTCTTTTTTTCCAAGGCCACTACATGCTATGCTTCATTTGGGCCAGATGTTCACATCAGCATGTCTGCTCATCCCCGCTATTATTTACATGAGGAGTGACTACTGAAACCTAGTGGATAGCAGAGCCACCAGCCTCCCAGCCAGACGCATCATGAAGGAGGAGACACCTGAGATCCAGCCCCATAGGACAGGCCCTCATTTTCAATCCTAAATCAATAGTCTAAACAGATGTGGACTGCATGTCACCAGAGGGTCCAAAGAGAGACTTGAGGCTGTGTACTCTTTAGATGTCTACTTGGGCTGCACTGGCTATTAAAAAGTTATGTGCAACTTCCAGATGAAAGACATCAGCAACATCTTAGAGGAAAGTCCCAATTCCTGAAGACAGAACTCACTGAGGCTTCTAACTCTTCTGGCTGTTAATTGAATCAAAGTCAATGACAATCTTGTTGCACTTCGGTGAGAATTTCCTAAACATGAAAAAACAACATGCATAAAGATATTATCCAATAAGTCGTTAAAGCAATTTTGTTGACTTTGATTGAAGATGTATTTTTTGTGCAGAAAAAAAAATGTCCTGGGATTCACTAGATACTTTATCTTTACAGAAGCCAATTATAAGTGTACCACACTGAGAGGAACATGGACCTGAAAACAGTAAGACAAAAAAAGATGCATGGGGTAGCTTGGTTTATATGTTCTTCGGCAATCTGAGTTCATGAATTATCCGGGAGTCAAAGGATTTCTAACAAGTTAGCTGCACAACATGGTATCTGATTACTTGTTTTCCCACCAGAGTTATCACATTTTCTAGGAAATTTTTTCTGCCAACTTGGAGTTGCTCAAAGCAAAAGATAGTAAATTTTATTTTACTTCTTACACACACAAGAAAAAGAAACTAGCTTTAGTAAGAAATAATCTTTAAGATGCATGTTCTAAAAGTACAAATGTAAACTAAACCCTCCTTATTTTTGTGCTCATTGTTTACCAATTAGTTCTACAACAATGACAGTGAAGATATTTGGGGCTAAACATAGTCTTTTAAATAAAAATCAGACGGAGAGTCATGTACATAACTAGGATTTAAAATTTCACAAAGCAATGTCCCTCCCCCACAGTGTAACCCCCGCTTTCACTATATTTGATGTCAGTATAACATGTGGAGGAGATGGGGACAAACAAGTCGTTTAAGGATTCAGGTGGACCCATTGCAACAATGAGAAGTACAAAATGTCATGTCAAAAACGAGCTTTACAGTGTCGGTGTGGGGGGGGGGGGAGATTGGGTGGGGGGGAGGGGGGAGGCAGGGAAGGGAGGTGAAGGGTAAACAAAGGAGGAGGCTGCAATGCTTGGTAAGAAATGTATGCATTATCCTGCCCATGTAATTGTAACCCCTCTATACAGTATGTTCTCAAATAAAATAAAATAAAATTAAAAAAAAAAAAATTTCACAAAGCACAATAAGGTAGCTCAAGAGATTCACTGCAAAAAAAAAAAAGAGATTCACTGCATATAACCCATCACCCTAATCATAGTGGACACAGACGGGTTGGAGTAAGTTCCCTAATATGGAAGTCCTATACTGCTGGCCATGCCAATTTCAAAAGAATTTTCTGGACCAGAGTTGTGGTTCAAGTAGTAGAATACCTGTCTACCAAGTGTGAGATCCTGAGTTCAATACGCATACCACAAAAAAAAAGGAGAGAAGAAAGTATCAAAGAATGTTCTGCCATTGCCATTAATGAAAGGTGATTGATTGTTCTAAAATATTGTTCTAAAAAAAGAATTCTTGGTGGCTTAACCTGGCAGACTGCTTTCAACCTAAATTGTCTGTGCCAGAATTTGTTACATTGAAAAATTTATAAAAGTTTGGCATTACCACTTAAAAATGTGTGAAATTTTAAAGTTCATACTATTGGAAGAGTCTAAATCCTGAAAAGCTACTAATATTAAAATATAATCATCAGACAGATAGTTATCAGATACTTCTGTCACCACCCTTAAAAATCTACCACTAGATTTCTAGCATCTTCTTCCATCGTATCTCCAAACACATTTCCAAGTGTAGAAGTCAGACATCACTAGGAGAAACTAGATATCAAACAAGATCTCGTGTGTTCCTCCATCAGCCACTGCCCCCAAGTTCTCTGGCCTCACCTGAACTTAACCCCGGCCATCTCAAACATGAGCCTTGCAGCGCTTGCCTCATCACTGTCATGGTATTTATCAGACATGAAAATCACTTCTTTTATACCTAAAAGGTAACAACAAAAGTCCCATTAGTACAAGCACATACAGACACAACAGAAGACCAGCAGGAACAGATGGAGCCCTTGTAGCATCTACGATTAATTACCTTTTCCAAGTGAACTTGCAGACAATGTCCAGTTGCTGAAATATATATATATATATATATATATATATACACATATATATACACACACACACACATATATACACAAACACACATATATGCGTGTATAATCTGCCATTTTCTAATACAGTAGAGGCATATTATATTGAATATACCCTCCAGCCTTTATGGATTTTTTTAAACAAATGCAAAGTAAAAACATCAGGCAGACAAGTCTGATCCAATTAACAAATCTCCCTTATTGCAGGTAAGCAAATATTCTTTATTCACCGGCAACTACTCTGAAGCCAAGAGGCTGATGCGGGGGCAGTGGAGGGTGCTGGCCAATTCAGGGATTAGAACCCCTGGGCTTCCAAGAATGGCTCCGTACACATCAATACAGTCCAGCTTTGTGCAGGAAGATCTGCTTCTTTTTCCTCATCTCACAGGCAGGCATAATCCGAGAGAATTCTTAAGACCCTGCACTAAAAGCTGCTCTTCTACCAGCTTCAGAAAGGGTAAGAAAGCTGGCCACATGGTGCCTCTCTACCCAGTGCATACACCTGCTACCTCTGTGGACAGCACAGGGAATATCCAAAGGACAGAGAATCAGCAACAGCATGGGAGCTTCAGTGTTCCTTAACATGGCTCTGATTCACTATCAGCAGACCTCTTCTGCTCTGAGATCCATGGGGTTCCTGATAAACAGTCCCTTTAACCCACACATCTGGCTAAACATGCTAAGTCTTTACATCTCAAGCTGAGAGCTTTATGGAGATAAAGTGTAGCTGAATTTGAGATGTGACAGCTTGAAAAAGGTGAAATATTCAGAATACAATGTGGTAGAATCATGGAAACAGTAATATAAGAAAAATGTAGGCTTGTAGTACCATTTGAGTCTCATGACATTTATATGCAAAGATATGCTTAGGTCCTCAGATATCTACCATGTATTAGATACAAATTAAAATTTGATATACAGATTCCCAGCTGACCTTGTTTCTGACAAAAGTTCATTCCCCTCCCTCCCCCTTAATCTATGCACAATATGTCAGAGAACGGTAAATTGACAGTAATTATATGCAATGCCTGTTTAGGTTGGTTTTGGTTTTTGTTGTTGTTGTTGTTTTGGCAGCTTGCAGCTTAAAAAGTTGCAAACTAAATTAAAAACATGCTAAGAATCACAGAGGATGCAATTAGTCTGGGGATACCTGGCACCATTCAAAAACAAAACACAGGAAATATCTTGCAACGCTGATAGTGCAATTAATTTAGATCTACACAATAACAATTTAAGATCAAGCACCTCTGCAAGGAGCTGCTGATGAGCAGGTAGCAATGCAAATGTGACGACTGGAAAGACCGGGCTCCTACCTGCCTGGATGATGAGTTTAGCACATTCATTACATGGGAACAGAGCAACATAGATAGTACAGCCCTTCACGTCCGCCGAATTCTTGTTCATGATGGCATTCAGCTCAGCGTGACACACTGTGGGTTTGGAAGAGGAAGAAAAACTTAGACTGCAGCTCGTGAAGAATTTACTAAGTGTTAAACATCCCATTCCCCCCTCTGAAATAACATATAACAGACTCAATAAAAATAAATTGATTAGAAACAGCAAGTACTGAGAATAGCAAATGAGGGGCTGGCGATCAGCAGGGAAATCTGCTCGCTGCGGCAGCCCTCAGTCTGGAAGCACCTACAGCAGCCAGGGAGGGCTTAGGTCAAGTGCCCTCGCCCACCCTAAGCAGAGCAATAGCTCACCGCTCCATAAGACCCTGGGGTATTGAATTGCCCACATAAAATGGCTCATTTGTGTGTTGATATGCACACACAGGGACATTCAGTATGGCCATTAAGAGGGCAGGGAGCAATAAGACAAGAGAACCAAGAAGTGAAACTGAGCATTCCAATGCTGAGGGACTCGTTTTTATCTCATCGTTCTCAGCCACAGACCCACAAGAAAAAAAAAAAATGTCAACAGACAGCCATTTGTCTTAGGTAAGAGAAACATTCATCCACTTAAGGCAACGTTCTTTGTATACCAACCCATCCCTCTAAAGATCTTGAAGTGAGCGCCCAGTGTCATCCCAAGTTCAAGGTCAAAAAGAATGCTTTTCTCTCCCCCCACACCTGTCAAACTGGTCCCTAGAGGTGTTCCAAAATTTGTCATGATCTGTGCTCCATACCTGGTGAGCATGATGGTCTGGGGTGCTGTCTAAGCCTGGCTATTTTAACAGACTGTCTGGGTGATTCAAATGTGCAGGCGAGTTTAGGAAGCACTGCCTTAAGGGATTCCCTGGTGTCCCTAGCACACACCATGCACACCAGTGGTAAGTCTTGGTTGAATAAATTCATGAGTGAAAATCATCTAAAACTCCTACAACAGACATATGGGGACCTTCAAGGAGCTTTTCTACCCTCTTCAGCTACTAGCCTTCTATAGATAACATCTCTTTTGGAGTTTTAGGCCTCGAATGAATAGTGGATTAAACTCATGGCCCTGTACATTTCAGTCACATCTTGTGCAGTTAATTCACATTGAGAATCTCTTCTGGGTCACACAGAGAATGGCCCCAACTCACCTTCCTCCGACAGCCTCCTGTTTTGGAGAAGGAGCTACAACTACCCCTGTGAGCGCATGTCCTATAGATTGTCAGTGTTGCAGCAGAGCTGACCTGGAGCTCTCTCAGAAAATGAGTGCTTATGTCCTCATTTTAGGAGTCTCCAGTTTCAGAGAGGCCTTGGCCATCAGTGAGAATGAAGAGTTTCTGGTAGCACAGGGCAATTTAAAGAAATAAGCTGACAGTAACAGATGCTGGTGTGGATGTGGGCCAAAAGGAACCCTAGTATACTGCTGGTGGGAATGTATACTTGTTCAACCTCTCTGGAAATCAGTATGGAGGTTCCTCAAAAAACTAAATATAAGCCGGGTACCAGAGGCTGTAATCCCAGCTACTCAGAAGACTGATCTGAGAATCACTGTTCGAAAGCAGCCTGCACAGGAAAGTCTGTGAGACTCTTATCTTCAATTAACCACCAGAAAAGCTGGAAGTGGAGCTTGGCTCAAGTGGAAGAGCACTAGCCTTGAACAAAAAGCTCAGGGACAGCACCCAAGCCCTGAATTCAAGCACTAGGACTGGTACAAAATAAACAAACAAAAAAAAAACTGAATATAAAACTAACCTATAATCCAGCAATTCCATTCTTGGGCATTTGTCCAAAAGATTACAAACTAGGATATGGTAAAGCAACCAACACAATCATGTTCACTGCAGCACTATTCACCACAGCCAAGGTACGGAATCAGCCCAGATGCCCCTCAAACAGTTCAAGAAAATGTGGTATATGTACACAATGGAATTTTACTCATCCATTAGAAAGAATGATACTGACTGCATCATTTACAAAGAAATGGAAGGTCTAGAAAAACTCACGTTAAATGAAGTCAGGCCAAGAGAGACAAAGGATACATGTTTTCTTTCACATGTGTAAGCTAGAATTAATTTATAAATATATAAGTAAACACTTTGGGATGGTATACAAGAGTACACAAATGTATTAACTGAAAGATGGTAGATTCAAAGGAAGAACTCAAAAATTCCTTGGAAAGGCACACTCACACTTTAACAAAATAAACATCAGCATACGGGTCCTTGAGAGGGGAGGAAGGTGTCATGGGAAAAGAGGGTAGACAAATGAAGACAGGAAGGGGGATGCGAATGCAATCACAAAATTCAATGCATATCCTACAGATTTATGAAACGTGAGGGCAGTTTGGGAGAGATAGGAGAATGATGAAAAGGATGACATCAGTCACGATTCATTGTGTTCATAAACTGCTTGGTTTATTGGCAACTCCTTTGTACAACTACTTAAAGATAATAAAAAAAAAAAAAAGTATTTAAAAAAAAAAAAGCGAAGCCTTATCAGAACCCAGTCCTACTGCGCTAGCCCTCTCTGTGCACTAAGGAACCTGTGACCCGCCCCCTGAGGCTCACTGACCTAATGAACCGCTAGGCCAGCCAAACAGAAATGCCCAGGATGGGGTAGCATGGACACGTGAGCAGCACTGGCCACCAGGAGACTAATGGTCACTTTCTCCTCCTACTGACCAAGAGGTTCAGAAGCTGGCATTAACACTGCTCAGTGGTAAAAACAAAAAACAAAAAAAAAAACAATTAGATGTAATTGTTTCTTTTATTTCCCCCTCGAGGACAGAGCCCAGCCTTCTAGGTTCTTTTTAACCTCCCCAGAGTCTAATGGGATGCCAAGAACATAATGGGTGTAAAATATTTATTGAGTAAATAAAGGGGAAAATGCAGAATCTAATTATTGATGGTGACATTGGGAAATATCAAAAGTCCTTTTAAATTCAAATATCAAAAATAGGCTTTCCCATTAATAAGTATTTTTTGATGGTGCTGGTATTAAGATTCAGAACTGGAACCTCTAAATGTGTTGTGAAACACTATTACGTTATCTCCTTTGTAAGAGGTGTCATGGTGACTAGCAGCTACCTTTGTGTAATTCATCTGAGGCAGACTGGGGCAAATTTAACATTATGAGTCTGGATACAGCAGTAAAAAATTATCATATGGAATAGATTCCCTTGGGTCTTGAGCAGTGTCTGATGTGCTTGTATAAAGATGGTTTACAGAAGATATAGGATTATAAGCAAACTTTCTCTCAGTTAAAAAAGAAATCACAGGATTAAAAAATACATGCAGGAAGCTGAAGTTCAAGGATCAAGGTTTGAGGCTAGGCTGGGCAAGGAAGTCTATGAGATTCTTATCATCAATGAACCACCAAAACCCCAGAAGTAAAGCTGTGGATCAAGTAGTAGAATGCTAGCCTTGAGCCCTTAGTGCAAGCCCCAGGACAGGCACAGACAGGCACAGACAGACACACACACACACACAGCCCCAGGACAGGCACAGACAGGCACACACACACACACACACACCCTTGCTAAAAGACAAAAAAGGTATGTTCTGAGCAACAGAAGTGCAGCACTGCTTCCTCCCTAGAGCTCCTTGATCCTTCAAGGTCTGACTGATTAAAAATGGCTTCCTGACCAGGCCTGTGGGGTGCAGAGGAAAACCCTCAACCCAGTGGCACTCTGAACCCTCCATCAGGATCTGCTTACCTCACTCCCACCTGGAGGCTATTAATGCCCTACCCTGAAATAATGCCTTCACCTCTGTGGCCTGGCACAGAACAGGCCTGGCCTGTTCTTCTCAGGCCCAAGTCCCCCTAATATATAGTGTGCTCCGGTCCTCAGCTGCCCTCCGGAACCTCCATGGAGGCCCCTTTCATTGTTCCATCTAATAAACGATCACTTCAGGCCCAGGCCCCCATATACTTCTTAAAAGAGGAAAATGGGTACAGCATTGGTGGCTCATGCCTGTAATCTTAGCTACTCAGGAGGCTGAGATCTGAGGATCTCAGTTGAAAGCTGCCAGTCCAGGCAGGAAAGTCCGTGATTAACCCACCAGAAAACCAGACGTGGCTCTGTGGTTCAAGTGGTAGAGCATTATCCTTGAGCACAAAGAAGCTCAGAGGGCAGTGCCCAGATCGTGAGTTCAAGCCCCACAACCAACAAAAAGGAAAATGGGCTCATCACAGGTCAGTCAGAGTGGACTGTGTGAGTTCATACTTGGACTGGCATCTACACCAATCAAACAATAAATAGGTATCCACTTCAGACCATAAAGAATGCTCCGAATCTCTGTGTCTGGACTATGCCGAGCCTTACCAGTACCAAGCACCTCTCCTCTTTGCCTGCTCCCCCTGGTGGGTAACCTGCCAACAGCACTCAGCACCAGCATCCAAGGCCCAGTCTGTCACTGAGAACCACTACGACCTTCAGTGTGCTTTTACACTCAAGATGAACAACAGCATGAAGAGAAGTTACTCCCAAGGATTTAGATGTTAAGTCATTTTTAAGATAGCAAGTAGTATCTATTTGGGGCTTTTTCTTAATGTTTCCAGTTCCAGTCCATTCCCAGGACAGTCAGTTCTCTGTAAGACAAGTTGCTTTCACAAACCCCAGCTAGCTCCTGCCAGGTCTTACAGCGCTCCGTTTCCTTGGTCCTTAAACAGGTGCACTTAGTCCTTGTTCTGTACAGTTCAGATGCTCAGCATGTTAAGTCTCTTTTCCTCTTTTCAAAGTTGTCATTCCAGCAACTGCTAATCACTTTTTAAAGTAATTGTCTCACAATGCACACCAGTGGCTCATACCTATAATAATAGCGCCTTGGGAGGCTGAGACCAAGAGGATCACAAGTTAAGGTCAACTGGGCAGAATAGCTCATGTGATTCCATCACATGATCCATCAGGTGATACCTATACCCGTTCACTTTAAGAATTCATCAATTCATAGTCTCTGAGACCAGACATATTTTGTAAAACCCTGAAATCAACATTTCTAACCCTAGTTTTCTACCTTTTCCTGAAGCCCTATTTCTGGGAAGAAATGAGGGGT